GTTTCTGCAGAAACTCGGTAGAGTTCTGAATGGAAGTTCCGCAATCTTTCGTTAGTGGATGAAGTTGACGGAATAACCACTTTGAGATTTTGTAGTTTGGCGCACCGATTAATGAAACTATCGGTCGCAGGGGAAATTCTGGTTTGTGAACTTTGGGTAATCCGTAGATAGTTGCATCGGATTGTTTCAGGCTTTTTGTGACATCTCCTGATAGCTGTTTCGTATCTTTAAGGCGTTTCAGCACCTTGTCAATAGATCACGTTTGCTTCTTTGTAGGGTCTGTGAGGAGGGGTTTATATGTGCCAGTTGGTTTGTAGCAGTAGAAACCGTATTAGCAGCCGTATTATCTGTACGACATTTATTATCGATATGTTTGGTATACTGGCAAATTGCATTACCTTGCGACATCATAGCATGGTAAAAGTTGAGCCATTATCAAATAACTTTTCTTTAAACCTTAAGTTTGCCCGATAATCGTTCGCGTCTGCATACTAGGTGCCGAACTTATACGACTATGATAACATGCTTATCAGAGCTAAAATATAACAGTTCCCTCCGGACTAGGCGAACTGTTATCGCTAGTATTACCACTAATACTGCTACTACTACCAGCATCACAGTTCAAATTCCCATCTGCTTTGGTTATTGCTTATTATGCAGCTACTGACACAGTTATAGGATATAGCAATGTTAGTTGATTATGGAGCAGATTTCTCTCCAAATGAACAGGAGACGTCCCCTAAAACCTCGATATAGACTTAAATACTGCGATAAGTTAAAACAGTTATCCTGATAACGGCAAATGGCACCATTCTGCATAAAGGCATGGTAAAACTTGAGCTATTACTTAATAACGTTTCGTTAACCAAATGATGATGCAGCCTGATGGACAGAGTTTAGGAGGCGGAAACCGAGGCAAGCCCTGGTGTGCCTTAAACATGTATTAACTCGGCATAGCTTAAACCTAGATTTACATTTCCTGTTGAGATCAAAGGGGTAAGAGCCCCAGCGTGATCTTAAACCGCGTCACCTCGGGCTAACACAACTGTCAGAAATTGTATCAGTACTACTAAAACTCAGCTACATTGCTAGTAGTAGTATTAGAAAAAGAAGTAGCCGTATCAGTCTTTGCCTACTTTAGCCTGTCTTCACACCTAATAAAGTTGAGTGAGGGTTGGCTTCATCGGTATCGATGGTCTGACACTTACGTACACAAAACTGTGTGGCGTATATTTCGAGCTAGTATATTTATTAAAATGGTACCCTTTCATCGATCTACAGGAATCACCGGAAGCAGGAAGAAGTGGTTGACTCAAACCTACATGAGTGTTTTCGGCGTACACATAAATGTACATAATCTTGCCATTGCATATCCATAGGCATAATATACTAACCTGCTAGAAGGGATATGCGTACGTGGACTCCATGACAAGTATTTGACCAGACTATAAATCATATTTTTGCAAGTTAAGAGTCAAATTGATCCCTCCAATATAAAAGTTACGCTTAATTGATTAAATGCCTCCTATTTCTACGCGCGACCGAATGTGCTCTCTGCACGTAAAAAAATCCTGAAGCCTACATCTGAAACATTAAAATACTCAATTCAGTAATATGGAACATTTTAAGTGCAGACATTTACATCTTATCGAAGTTACCTATTTTTGGGTCTAGCAATTTTAGTTTGCTTGCTTTATAATGGATACCATTTTTTATTTTCTTTAAAAGCAATGTAACCGTCACTTTCTGAATGCACAACCCTAGAAGCAGTGAGACGCATTGTGTTGCACCCTCCCTCCCTCCCCTAACCCCTAAATACATATGCCTACGTCAATGGTTTGATGCAAAGATGTCAGCACAATGGATTGAAATGCGATAGTTGTGACTATTTACCATGCTCATCTAAGTTATTACGCACGTACTCCATTCAAATTAAACGATTATGTGTATAAATTTCCTTCCTGGCTAGTGTTTCTGATATGTCTGCATCGTGGAGACGAAACACAACAGCAAATTCCGTCACGCTATGCCAAAATCCACACGGATGAGCAAACAGCGAGCGGAGAAAAATCGATCAGCCCATGGCCAACACCTACAGCCACAAATTTTAATTGCTGATCGATAAAGTCAGTTTACGCCTCGACAAACGACAGACGGCCAGCTATCCGAAACGTCAGCAAACCAACAAACTCATTTCGGTGAGCAAAACACGGTCTATGATTCTTATCCCGGAATTCTGACTTTTGCAAATTTGAGAACCGGATAAGCATGCCCGAGCACAGCATATTTATCGATTTTTACTTTAAATTCTTCCAAGCCGCCTTAATTCAGACTGCCATGAACCAGCCACACGAAGTGAATTAGTTACGGCCTTTTTAACATACGAAATACGTTTGTTTTTTCTCCAAGCAGACTTAAGTTCTAGAGAGATGGCTAACTGTAAACTTAGGGCAGTTTGTGTGTATTTTTTTACGCACGCTGTGCTATTGGCTTCATTTAAATCCTATTCGTAGTCGTGCGCTACTTTGCTTCCGATCTTCTTTCTGTCATTCGTACGATAACACAATTCAATGCAATTCGAACAGATACAATGGTTAGCGCACTTTTGGTATCCGTCATTCAGATATTTTCACTGGGGATTAATTTGATTTGTGAGCGCCTGTCTTTTTTTACTAGCAGATTTAGCAACTTGTCTTCGTGTCCTGTAACTAACACTTAAGCTGCTTATATCATTGTAGACCGGGTCGGTAACTAAGGTTTAGTGTGAGCTGTACCTGGCACCATCTTGTTATCCTGAACGCACATTTTGTCCCAATTATTTCTACAGTTTGAAGCCTGCAGATTTACGCATTTCAGCTATTCTTACGGGCCACATTTAAATTATTGTTAAGAAATGGTCAATGCAAATGTTAAGTAGAAATCAACAAAGAACATTAGCATGAGCACGATATCACATCTCTTTACTTGACTCTAAGGCATCTGCCAATGCCGGATCGTTCTTTTTGTGAAAAAATTGGGTCCTTTACACAATAAAACAAACAAACAGAAATGCAGCCCAATTATTTAAGTAAGCAGCTTTCCACGCTGGGGAAGCAGTAATGCCCACCTCACGAGGGTCGGATTTATTCCGTAAACTTGAACCTACACTCTCTTAGTTATGACTTCTGACCTCACCGTCGTCGACCAGTATCGCCCGCGTGATACTTGATGGGGGCCATACGAACGACAAAATAAAGCCCATATTTCACTGCGTTCTAAAATGCATCAAATGTAATACAAGTGTGATTTTCAAGGACTATCTTAGTTAATGTAACTTAAGTTGGTAACGGTTTGGGAAAGATGCACGGCTTTCCAGAAACCTCTATTAAATATCGGCTCAGTTGACAGGAAAGCAGTCGCTTAGCTACGTGAAAGGGTTCTTTCCATATAAGTACGGTAACAGATTGGGAAAGCAGTCGGAGTTCAAATAAACAAATTTCTAATGAAAAGCAAAATAGCAGGAATGTCCTGCGACAACATACTTAATCACTGAGATAGTTGCCGAGGATGGAGCACACACTGTATATTACACGAAAAACACCATAAACTTGGTTTTTTTTTTTAGTAAAATCGACGTCTTTAGCACGCTGCAATGCAGTTTATATCCTTTGATAAGGGCCTGATCAAATTGATTCAGTGCTTTCCTGCATTGTGAATAATAGTACAACATGTTCCAGTTTGTTTACTTCGCTAGCAACAGGTAATTTGTGCTATATCCAATCAGTTTGCTATGTATACATTGGATATGCTATCCTACCATTTAAAACAAATTACATTCGTTGTTCTGTATGATATCGTATCCATCGGTGTAATCCCATAAGTGTTTAATTACGTCAGGGGCTGGCTTTAAAACAAGTCCTCTCACCGGCCACTTTCAATACAAGCCACTCAATTAGTAGGCACTTACATTGGTCGTTATTGTCCCTGAAGATTTAGATATATTTTGTAGAAAAAACAGATATTAACTGTGCTGTATGTACCCATGCAATATGCAACAATATCCACATCTATTGTAACATGTTATTTATAAAAGTGAATTGAAATTTTATTTATTTCTTCATCATGAATATGTGATCAGTTTACTTTAAAATAAGCTAAACAGTAGTACGCCCGTCGGTGAGATTTGCAATTATCCTTAAAATGTGAGCCTTCGTTAAATCAAAGAGGTTTCGTGAAACGTAAAATGGATAATTTGGTTAATGTATGTGACCTGGAATGCCTCAGGAGCTCATAATTATTGCCAAGGTGCGTCCAATTACTGCGTTCTATCTTAAAATGGCATCGTGTACCAATTCGCAAAATGTATTATACGAAAGTAAAAATTTTCCTCCAAGTGGAATCTTTGATGCGACTGATTAGTATTGCACTACAAAGCCAGAATCCTTGGCTGACAAAACAAAGTTGGATTATGCTGTACCATAATCTGTATTAAGACTCCACCGAGATAAGTGTTTTGGTGATATTGGATATGGTATTTATGCTTGCCACAATGCCAGCACTCTATGGCTATTTTAGACGAACATGGACTGTCCAATGAAGCTAAAGTTCCGCCTTATACAATTTCTCCCTTGCATATGTGCAACCTTTCTCTGCTCGATGTCGCCACATTATGCTTTCAGCAGAGATCGCTTCCCTGGTTTGGTGATAAAAAATATTGCCATAGCTGCGGATGAAGTCGAGTTATTGGAGTGCATCGAAGAGACTCTTTACGCCTGGTCTGTGCTGTCAGAAGTTTACCTTCGCATATGGAGTACCGGCCGACCTAATCTGTTTGCCAGTAATATCGAGCGAATGAGGAGCCGTACTCCATTCCATCTGTCCAAGTTGAGCCTGGCCACTGGCAATCGGGATCTGCGTCTTCTTCGGAATGTGCGAAATCTACCTCTTTATAATCTGCGTCAGCTGGCACCAATCAACCTTCCTGTTTGCGTGGTTAAAAAAACGAAGAAAACTGCCTATCAAACAGTCTAGAGGATGCGGAAACAAGGTGTCAGTGTTGGTGCATTGAAAGATCGTGTCGGTCGTTGTTTGCGCTTCTGTCGGCTCCTATGGGATTGGTTTTGCGTGTTCTCTTCAACACAGAGTTAAAAACAGTTATGTTGCCTGTCATGCACCATGACGTATACTTTCTGCGTTGACGACTTCCCCTTAATTACCGAGATAATTCGTTAAACACTGGCGTAATATTTTTTACTGCGAAGAATGTACTCTCAATTCGATTGCATATCTTTTAGTCTTTGGTTGGTAGGTGGACCAAAGCCCAAAATATGTGCAACCAAATTGAAAGTACATTCTTCATGCTAAAGAATATCATGCTGTTGCTTAACTGATTACCTAGGACACTCTTACACACTGTAGTTAGCTGAACAAACCAGCCAATTTCACTCAGCTCGAAATCCTTAAAACACACCTTTCGTTTCTAGTCATCCATCTGCACTGCTGTTTTAATGACATAAGTTCATATACATTGTCACCGAGGTAGGGCCAACTCCTTCCAGGTCCCTTTACGTTTGCTTCCTGCTCTTACTTGTCTATGATGTCATTTTCATGGCAACATGTTTTGGGTGGCGATAACCTTAGCTTGAATTATTACAATAAAAAAAGCCTATACTTTATATTTAGTACCCACATCTTGAATCAATTCTAGGTGTGCGCTTTCTGGTAACCATCCTGCATTCTTGAGGAACTACCTGTACTAACAATGCCTGTTAATATCATAGGATGTAATTTAGTGAACAGGATAATACGTCTGTTATGCCCTGAAAACGGAAGGCCGTTGGTAGACAGGACGAATGTAATGTATGTTAAACAGAAGGTTGCCTGTAGACAGAATGTCATGTAAGCAAAACGGAGGACTGTCTGTAGGCAGGACGTGTACTGGGGACGAAGACACAGTTCAAGCGACGAGACATGTTGATAGCGCGGTGTATATGGTGTGGGGTAAAGGTAATGGGCCGAATGCTGGCCAATCAGAATAAGGACAGGGGTGAGCCCGCTAGCCATGAGTGATGACTTGGCAGTCAGAAGAAAGAAAGGGATGAACACGTATCCGTGACCTTGACCAGCGCTTGACGCGTGCATCGCGTTGTAATATCCCGACACTATGGACGGGCATACATAGCAAGGTCAATGAGTCAAATTTTCCGTATTTGTTCGATGTTTATCATGTGTACAAATGGTGCTCGATCCTTAGGTGCTGAATTTCCTGTAATTGCGTATGGAAGGCTAATGATAGATGACTATACAGAAAGTCGCCCATTTTACCTTTTGCACAGTGTTGTTATCTATAACTCGTCATGCATTTAGAGGAAAATTAAAAGGCTCAAGAGCGAGCCCCGAGGCAAACCGAAACGGGTGTGTTTGGTAATTGGTCAGCGAGTGCCGAGCTATATGACATATACTTAAGGTATATGCTGGGGGTATACTGATGAGGACGAGGGAGACAGGGATGGCCATTTATGGCATAATTTTGCCAATTAGTAACAACAACCATATGTCAGAAAAATGTGGGGATTGAGGAGAAGGAGGAGGAGGAGGGTTGTCGCACCGGTGTTCAATACCGCGGACATAGAAATAGTCAGATGACCTTCTGGTGGTGAGCAGATCGTATTGCGGTAACGACCGGTAGCCTGAAAACGCATGTGACTGACTGCCTCTGGGGGAGAAGGGAATGACTTTAAGAGAAAAATATACATTTCCGGTTGCTGTTGTTTTTAAGGTGAACGTCCGTTTGTGTATGGCGATCAGAGGTGCTCAAACGTGTTTGCCTGTCTGAAGTGAACTGAAATTAACTGAAGGCTGTCCATTTAGTATCTTTTTTGTTATCCTTGTTGATCAGCTCCCGAAGCAGCGTCAGTGATAAATAGTAGTATGGTTATTCCGTTTTCATCCACCCTCAACGATTAGCATGCTTTATCGACGTCGGATTTGCTTCGGTATGTCCTTCATGCTGATTTTCCAGGATTATCGTGTCCGGGTTCCTGTCCTGCCAATTTTACTCAGAAATAATGAGGCGAAGGCGTCGCATGCATCTCTTGATGCAAGTGAGCTCACACGATAGCTGCCAATGCATTTTAGTAATGGGTAGTTTTCGTTGAGTTCAACGTATGAGCGCACGCGCATATTAAGTAATCGTGGCAACATACTCTGTACTTGCTTCCTCCAGGCGCCGAAAGGGATACGCATTTGCATTTTAGGTTTTCTGGCTTCTAGAACGTTAACTATTGGTAATTAATTTGAAGATGCTCCAGTCAACGGCACAGACCAATTCGACTACCTTCCCCACCGTCTCCTATTATACATAACGAACGTAGACATAGCCCGCATTTAAAGACTGCATCCCTTCGTAACCTCAGATGGATAAAGTAATTAATGGACATGAGTTGACAAATTTGCTGATTGACGTACTTCAGAGATTCAATTAGGAAAAAATATATTAATTATGGCTGATATAGTCACTTTAAGTCACTTTATTAAGGACAGAAGGCCTTCGCCCTTGAGCTCCCTATTCATAACCAAAAATCGCAAAAGAGTTAAACCCTAACAAAAGTACATGATACAAATCAGCGATAAGTGGGAGCCATTTGCAAGGTGCTGCTTCTGACACTATGTTCACTATATCTGTCACATTTTCTCAGCAATTGAGGATCAAATTTGTGTTTAAAAATGTCAACACTCTCTG